TAAATTTATTTAGAGTAATTGAAATGCTTCAACTTTTTGGCTTATTTCTTTTCTTACAATTTATTGGAACTATTTTCTATATCGTCTATGCTATCAAGTTTCCTGATAATACGCCATTGTAAACTTTTCTAAACTTTAAAATTAAAATAAATTTAAATTTAAAAAAGAGTTGGTTTGGTGTCTGGACTAGTTGTAAATTGTGCACTACCGGTAATATTATGGTCCCGCCATTTTCGCTGTATTTTCTATGTGATGCTTTCTTCGCTCATTGGAGGGAGATTACGCCTTATTTTATTAATAACAATGGTGGCTTGGGCATTTGAAGTTTTTTTTGTTTAATTATTTAAAAATTAAAATTATTTTTAAAAGTATCCAGTACAAAACACAACAGCAAATATTGAAAATGTAATGGAAGGAGTTAATTGTGTTACACAAAATGTTAAGGCTGTGGCTAAGGAAATGAAGGAGAGAGCTGGACACGCAATTGGTGAAGTATGGAAAATAACTTTTTTTTTGTTTTTTAAATCATTTAAAAATTTTTTGTTAGGCTGTTCCAATGGATAAATTACGTGATTTAATGACTGCCCAATCAATGCCTTTTGAGAATGTAAAGAAAACGTTAAAAAAAGTTGATGAAGCTCTCGGGAAGTAAATTTAATAATTTTTCTAAAAATTTATTAATTTAAAGAATGATGAAATGGCAAAAAAATTTAATTGACAAAATAAATGGTTTAATGAAAAATTGTTCAGCCCTAGCGCAAATACCTTTTAAAGCGGTATTTTTTAGATAAAAAAATTTTTTTGTTTAAAATTTATTTTTTCTAGTGTATTGGTTGGCTTGAAGAACGTCACAAAGATTGTTTTAACAGTTATCCTGAATTAATATGTAAACCAATTGAATTAATTAAAGGAATTTGTTATGCTACAAAAATATTAGAAATTCATTGTACTTGGCCAGGAAAAGTTAAAAGTGCTGTGAAAGAAGGTGTTGGGAAATTTGTTAAAAATTCAAAGCAAAGAATAATTAATTATACAAAAAATACTTTTTTGTATAAATTATTTAATAAAACGGTAAATGGGGGAGGGATGGGGAAAAGGAATAGAGGGGGGGAGGGATGGGTAATGGGTAGGGACGGTAATGGGGGGAATGGAGGAAGAGGAGGGATTTTTGGGAAGAATAATAAGGGGGAAGGGATGGGTAATCGGTAGGGAAGGTAATTGGGAGGAGGGGTAAGGACGGTAATGGGGGGAGGGGATTTTTGGGAAGAATAATAAGGGGGAAGGGATGGGTAATCGGTAGGGAAGGTAATTGGGAGGAGGGGTAAGGACGGTAATGGGGGGAGGGGATTTTTGGGAAGAATAATAAGGGGGAAGGGATGGGTAATCGGTAGGGAAGGTAATTGGGAGGAGGGGTAAGGACGGTAATGGGGGGAGGGGATTTTTGGGAAGACTTATTTTTAAAAATATTTTTTAATTAATTAAAGATAGCAGAAACAAGACAATTAAAAACTTTAAATATTTCAATTACTCGTGATCAAAATATGAGTGACCATTTTGCTTTTGATCGAAAGAAAATGCATAAAGCTTTACACGATGAAATATCAACTTATGAAAATATAATTAATGCAATTGTTTTTTTATTAGATTCTGTTTCTATTGCGATGATATTCTTTACACCTTTTATGGTAATTTTTAATTAGAGAGAGGGGAGGGACTTCCAAAAATATTTTTTTCTTTATTTTTAAAGGCAACTTTATATGTTAGAAGATTTAATACAGGGGAAGCTATTGATAATTTTTATGTTACCCCAAATTTTATTGAAATTGATCGTGCTCGGGCTCTAAATGGTTTACCTACATTATTACCATTTCAACCAATAGAAAGGAAAAGCGTAAGAAGGGAGGGGAATGTTTTTTAATTAAATTTAAATTTTTAAAGATAATTTATACTTGTACTCGCCGTTTAATGTTTAAAGAATGGGTACTTTTTTGTGTTTATCATTTATTTCTAATGATGTCTGTTGTCCCAATTACTTGTTTTATTATTGTTGATATTTTTGTTTATCGAATTCTTCGAAGAGTTTTTATTTTTTTGGGACAAGATTTTACAACTTTTGCCGTTCCAAATATCTATACAATTAAAGTAAAAATTATTTTTTTTAAATTTTATTTTAAAATTTCTTTTAAAAAAGATTACCGGAAAAGGATTTTTAAATGATTTATTACGAAATATTCTAAAAACTTTTGAACCTTTAACTGATAAAGAACAGCGTGATGATCTTTGGAGGCATTGTTTTAAACAGCCAATACAGCCTAGATATGATATTTTTTGGTTTATGTTTATTATTTATATTGTCTCTGTTTTGTTAATGTTTTTACAGGTATTTTTGTTAAATTAAAAAAATTAAATCTTTTAATTTTTAAAAAAAGATTTATATGCGTCGAACAAGGCATATTATAGCAACACATTTTTATCCGGATAGAGCCCAACCACGAGCATTACATTTATACAACAAAGTCCTGGAAGAGAGAATGAGGCGGTGGGGAATGTTGGCTGATATACAAAAAGCAAAATTTAATGTAATTTATTTTTTTGAAATTATTTGGGAGGGAAATTTCTGACATTTTAAAAACTTTTTCTCTTTCATCTTCCATTAATTTTTTTATTTTTAGGAAGATGTTGGAGATAAAGAAAAATCCCTTCTCCTCAAAGGAATGTCTGTCCTAGCCGAAGACAAGCAACGTTGTTGTAGATGTGCACGAACAGATCTTTGTGTGGAGGATATTGAGTAGGAGAATTTTAAAAATAAAATTAAAAAAAATATTTTTATATATAGAAATATTCGTGTCTGTTCTGGATGTTATGCCATTTATTGTGTGGATTGTTTTACTGTTAGGAAGCGCTGTTTTAAGAAAGGATGCAGTTCTCTATTAATGCAAATTGTTGATAATGTAGATTTTTATGTTGACAGCAGTTTAGATGAAGATGAATCTGAGGAGGATGAAGAGGAGAAATATGAAATTGTGGATACAGAAGTTGAAATGGAAGAAGATAAAGTTAGGGAATATGACAAGGAAAGTTTGGAGGGGAAGGAAGGAGAAAATGGGAAAATGGAAGGGACAAAAGAAGATAAAAAGGAAGAGAAAAAAGAAGAAGAGGATAAAACGATGGAAGGAACAAGGAATGAAGAGAAAAAAGAAGAAACGGAAGAAGAAGAGGATAAAAAGACGAGAGAGGAGGAGGGTAGTCAAATGAAAAAGGAGGAAGAAAGGGAAGAAGAGGAATTTAGTTTGTATAATATTTAGGGTGTTTTTATTGTTTAATTATTTTTAATTTATTGCTTGATTTTTAATATTTCATTGTTTATTTAAAAATTTAAAATGTAATTTTAATAAAAAAATTAATATAATTGTCAATTTTATTCACAACAAATTTGTCTGGTAAATTAAATTGTAAAAGACAAAAAAAATAAATTGGGAAAATGAAAAAGAATAAAAATTTGTTATTTATTTAAACCCGTTGATTATACACTCCTCCACATAACTATACAGCCACACTATTTTTCTAAAATTTTCCAGCTTAAATATGAATTTGGAAATTTATGCATTTAAAAATAATAAACAAGCAGCAAATAGACCGATTACTATGCTTTTTCAGAAATTATTAAGTTTTATTCCGTTATTTTCCACATTACCTGTAAAAATTACCTCCACATAACTATACAGCCACTTGTATTTTCGTCCTTAGGAGTAGCCCGAAAAATCTACAAAAATTTCTGTAAACATATCTATTGATATCTATACTAAATACAAAAGAAACGAAGTTCCTATATAATTCCTTCATTGAGATCTGAAAACCCAAAAATCAACGGAAAACCGGGGTAGACGTCTTTAAAAAATATTTTCGACCCCTTACAGGTAAAATAAAAATTTCATTTTAGGCTTATTTGAAAGCCCTTGAAATTTGCTACAAGTTAGTTTTCATCTCATAAATCAGAAAAAATTAATCTTTGAGAAATAATGAGTTTAGTTTTTAAGTTACATTTTCATCACTTTTTTGGGGGCGTCTGAGTGATTTTTATGACCTGAAAGTTTATCACATTATGTCTTCAAGGTGAATTTTTTTCGGAAAATAATATTAATGCTATCTTGTAGCAAATTTCAAGGGCTTTCAAATAAGCCTAAAATGAAATTTTTATTTTACCTGTAAGATGTCGAAAATATTTTTTAAAGACGTCTACCCCGGTTTTCCGTTGATTTTTGGGTTTTCAGATCTCAATGAAGGAATTATATAGGAACTTCGTTTCTTTTGTACTTAGTATAGATATCAATAGATATGTTTACAGAAATTTTTGTAGATTTTTCGGGCCACTCCTAAGGTCGAAAATACAAGTGGCTGTATAGTTATGTGGAGGTAATTTTTACAGGTAAAGTGGAAAATAATGGAATAAAACTTAATAATTACTGAAAAAGCATAGTAATCGGTCTATTTGCTGCTTGTTTATTATTTTTAAATGCATAAATTTCCAAATTCATATTTAAGCTGGAAAATTTTAGAAAAATAGTGTGGCTGTATAGTTATGTGGAGGAGTGTAGGGTAAATAATGAATAGAAACAAAAACGGATAAAAGATGAGCAAATGCAGAAAAACAAAATTAAAGAATTTGTTTAAAATAATGCCCAAAATAAAAGAAAAAATTTGGCCAAAAAATTAAAAAAGGTTCTTTTCGATTATGCTGGAGTCGTCAAACTTTTATCCACAAATTTTAAAATAATTTTAGAAGTAGAAAAAAAAGGAAAATGCGGTTTTGTAATTTATTTTTATCTCAAAAATTTTTCGAAAAAATATTAAATTAGTTAACACCCTTCAGCGAAAGGGAGAGAAGAAAAGAAAAATTTTCATGAAATTTTTATTGTGGATAAAAGTTTGCTGACTTTTTAGGCATAACCACCAAAATACAAAAAATAATTGATAGAATGTTATTAAAAAAAAGTTACTAACTATCCACTAGTCCATTGATCTGGTGCAATTGCAAAATAACTGAAAATTAAAAGTAAAAGCCCATAAAGTAAAAAACCCACCCATCAATACGTTCATAAAATCGTTTTCTGTATTGTTCTGGAGAAATAACAGTTGGCTTAAAAATTATAAATTTTATATTAAAGTATACATATGTAGCTTTGGGACAATTCATAATAAAATTTATATTGTTTTAACTGGAGATTTTAAAAGTTTAGTTTGTTCTATTCATTGGAATAAATGGGAAATTTTCGGAACATCATTTTAAGTAACGGTCAATTGTCTTTTTAATGAATTGTCCCAACATTAAATACTCACCAAATTACTCATCGGAAGGGCAGTTTTCTAAAGAAAAAAAATAAAAATATTTTTAAATAAAAAAATAAACAAAAAAAACTCACAACAAGACTTTCAACTTTTTTATCCAAAGTAAATGTTCTCTTTAAAAAAATTTTCAAAAAAAATATTTCAATAGAAAAACCATATAATCAACAATTCCAACAATAACTTCATCTTCTTGCCCACGAGATATTCCAGCCAAAAGACTGTAATCCATAATACCTTGATTTGCAAGAAAATTGCTGTCGTTAATAATTGCTTGGCTAAGTAAAGTTTTTGAATGTGGAAGTAAATATATTTGGTTTCTCCAAATATCTTGAAGGTAATTTTCGTCTAAAAGGACAGCAGAAGGATAAATACTTCCATCTTGATTTAAATTAGATGAAGATTTTGTTGAGGCTAGTCTTTGAAAAAAATAAAAGGAAAATAAAAAAGGGGTTGAGAGGTATTTTATGAGTTAGTAAATATTGAGAAAGATCCTAATTAATTAGTGTCTAGCCGTCTAATTAAAATTCTTAATTCACCTATTTCGAAGAGATCCTTTCAAATCCCAAATTTGTTTAATATCCTGAAAAATAAAAATAACAATTTAAATAAATAAAGAATTCCTCCTTTAAAAACCTTTTTATAAAAAATATATTCCATAACCAAATAATTATTTTTTAAAGTATGCCCATTTTGTTTATTCACATAATTTATTCCATAAGCTCCAAAAATCTTTAATTAATTAGTTCCGTGACTTTTGCACTGAGAACATTTGAGCCGCCATTATTTAAAAAATAAAATAAATAGCTAGTCGGACTTCACTATAATGTAACCTTTAAGTTTAAAAATAGTAAGCTTGAGGTCAGGAGGTACAAATATTCTCGGCGCAAAAGTCGTGACAGCATTTAATTATTTAATTAAAGAATAAAATCTTTTATAAATTACCTTACAAAGAGCAGTTGGCCTATTTTCTTGTTTAACTAAATTCATATAGTCAATATACTAAAAAAATAAAAATATTTATTTTTTAAGTAAATAATATTAAACACCTTTTGAGAACAATTTTTGAAAGAATCCAATTCAAAACGCGAAAGTGTTTTTAATACAAAACGTTCATCCTCTGTACGGAAAAAGGAGGCACCTAAAAAATTAATTAAAGTTAAATCTTGATTTTTAAATAGATATACAAAGGGATGTTATTCGTACTTATTTTGGAAGAGAAGTTTTTTTTAAATTTATATTCGGTTGCTCCAATGTAATGAGGAGATTTTTTAACAATTGTCCTAGTATAAAAGCACAGGAATTTCCATCTATCTTACCGACAACAGCTTCACTTGCAGCACGATACTCAACTCCAATCAACAACGATGGCGGACGGCAAGAAGGATGATGACGGCAAGAAAAGCGGCGGAGAGCGAAGCGTGATCAAGGGGGATGGTGGTAAGTGCGAGCAGGCAGTCCAAGGAAGGGAGCAGCAACAACAGGAGGACGCTAACACGAACACGGAGATGATCTCGCGTCTTGAACCGATGGAGGCAATCGCTCTGAATATTGGGACTGTGGTCGGCAGCGAAGGACACAGGAAATGGCACGTTCTCAGCAGGTTGGGATCTGGCGCGTTTGGTGCTGTCTATCTGGTGGAGGAGGAGGGTGCCAAGAAGGAGGAAAAGTATGCCTTGAAGGTATGTTGTTAGAAAATTTTAAATTTTGGACATTTTTACTATTTAGGCAGAGCGCCTCTCAGCTCAAGTGCAGATGTTGGCCGTCGAAGTGCAAGTATACCAGGCGCTGATGGCAAAGGCAGTTGAAGGAAAACGCCGGTACCCGTTGCTGATTGACAAGGGAGCCTGGAACAATCAGTGCAACTACTTGGTCATGTCATTGGTCGGCCCATCACTTGAGGTGAGTGATGATTTATTTGTAAGTTTGGCCTAACTTTGCAAATATATTATTTTTAAGGATCTTCGGCGTAAGCGTCCCAACAACAGGTTTTCCATGGGCACGGCTCTGATTGCGGCAAAGAAGACTTTGGCGGCGATTGTACAGATGCACCTCGTCGGATTTCTTCACAGAGATGTGAGTTTTCATTTTAAAAAGCGAAAATTGAACTTTAATTTCCTTTTTTTCTATTAGATCAAGCCAGCAAACTTCTCGATTGGACACACGGACAAGAATGTCATCTACATCCTCGACTTTGGCATGGCACGATGTTTTGTACGGCCAGACGGCGTACTTAAGCGTCCACGCGCAGGCAACATCGGTTTCCGAGGGACAGCCAAATATGCTTCAAGAATTGGTCACAAACATAAGGAGCTCTGCCGAGGGGACGACGTCGAGAGTTGGTTCTACATGGCGTGTGAGCTTGTGAAAGGGAAGTTGCCTTGGCAGCGTGTCGATGTAAGTTTATTAATTTTTTGGTGGTTTGTTGGCTAATTAAATGTTTGATTTTTAGGAAGAAGCCAAAATACGTGACATGAAGATCGAAGCCTTAAGACCTGGGAAGGTGGACGTCAAAGGAAAGGGGCCGACTTCTGAGGCAGCAGCGGGGACGAAGACCAAATCGGAGGCGAAACCCAAGGTGGAATCAAAGCCCAAGATCGAGACTAAGACCAAGACTGAGGCAAAGCCCAAATCGGAAGCGAAGCCTAAGACGGAGACTAAGACCAAAACAGAGGCCAACCCCAAATCGGAGCCGAAGACTAAAGTGGAGCCGAAGGCGAAAGCAGAGGAGGGAAAGGAAGGAAGTGCAAAGAAAGCTGAGAGGGAGCCGAAGGATCCACGTCGCCTGCTGCTTGGTGGATGTCCTAAACAGTTCGCCAACATTCTTGAACTCGTCGCGCCACTCCGCTATTATGATGACCCGCCGTACGATGATATTGCCGAACTCATAGCTGCAGCAATAAAGAAGATGAAAGTGCAGGTTTGTTGAGAAATGTTTTTTAATCTTTTAAATTTCTTGTATTTTTTCAGACATATCCACTAGATTGGCAAGAAGGAGGGAACAAAGCCTAGAAAGATGCTTGATGTACGGAAGATATTAGCAGCATAAATAATTGTGATATAATGTTCTCTGATGTATTGAATTGTTTTCCTTCACAATGTTGTAAATATATATTGTTTTTCTGTAGATTTGTAAAATAAATTTGCCTTGTGTTTTTGAGTTTTTTGATATAAATTATTTTAGGTGAGTTGTGTAAATAAGATTGATTAGATAAGCTAGGGATAGTTTTGTCTTCAAGTATTGAATTGTTTTCTTTCACAAACTTTTTGGTTGGCTCGTTGGTTACAGGAAGTGCCAGAGCTAATACAGAAAAAATACTCAGATTCTATTTTTCAGACCCAAGAGGTGTATCCGAACCGATTTTTTTAATTTATAAATATTTGCCAAGATATCTCACAATTTATAACTCAAGTTGGCAAGCACTTTAATTTTAAATCTTACCACTTTTTCCGCCTTGAGGATACCACGGAGAGGACGTTGAAAGTGAATTAACATAACTACAAACAAAAATATTATAAAACAATTATTTTAAAAATAAACTCTTTTTCGCTGCTGGAAAGAAAATTTGAACGAAATTTAGAAAAATCATTAGCAAAATAAATCTAAAAAAATTAAAAAATGTATTATTTACTCTTATATAAAAATACCTTTACATTACATTGCATTTTTTGATCAGAAATTGGGACTTCTATAAAATCTTTTTGGGAAGATGCTTTAAAAAGAAATTTTTTTTGAAAAAAGGAAAAAAATTTACAATTAATAATTGTTAAATATTCATCAGAAAGTAAAGAAATAGCTATAATTGCACCAATATCAGGCATTGGAGTACCTTTTCCATCCAAAACTTCTCTAATTTTCGGACAAATATTTTGTAAATTATCCATTTCATTTTCAATTTTTAAAGAAAATAATTGGCTAAAATAAACATTCAATGGATAAATTGGTGAAGTTCTAAAGCAGCTAACAAGATTTCCAAAAGCAAAGAAATGACTGTGTGAATGAAAAGTACAATGAAGACATTGATGTAAATCAACAGAAGAAGAAAATGGAGAGATCTGTTTTTTTAATTAAGAAAATTTATTTTTCAAAGAAAATTTACCCAATGTTTGCCATTCGCTAAATAATCAACAAATTTGGCAAAACTTAAATGGAAAATTGTATTTGGCATTGGTATAATAGAAGAATTTGCAGAACAACTGAAAATTTAAAGATTATTATTAAACATGTCCCTTAAAATGCCTCTAATTAACTAATCATTGATAAAGTATTCAAATTATTCCAAGGGAGATTTTTAGTCACGAAATGTCGAAATAAACAAATTTCCCAATTATGTGGGTTTCCCAAAAAATTATATTCGTAGAGGTGGATTTAAAGAGATAATTACTATAGTTATATGAATAAACTTAAAATCATTCAAAAAAATAAACAAAAAATCACTACCTACCTATTACAACGTAACCAACAAATAATTTGTTTACAATTATTATTAGGTATTGTTGAAGGTAAATCTTCTAACGAAAAATTACTTTCACTCAATTCTCCTTCATTTGCCCCATTACAAAGATTTGCCCCACTTCCAAAAGGATTGGGAATTACTGGAGCAATTAAGGCTGCAGCAGTACTTCGACTAACAGATACATTTCTTGTAGTTATTTCTAGTCGAGTATTTCGATGAACTATTCTTCTTAAATGTTCAAACATTAAACGATCACAGCTTTTACAACGATAATCAGCATCGAAGCAATAGCTTTAAAAATATTAAAATGTTAGAAAAGAAGTTAGAAAAGTTAGATCTTTATAGGTCAGTAACCCCCACCCCCATCTTGACTCGATTGCCCACTTCTCGCTTTTTTGTTTCCCAAGTTTTAACTTTCTGATAATTTATAATTTTTATACGGCTAGAAAACATTCATTTTTAATCATTAGTGATGGATAAAAGATATTATATTTTTTTACTTAAAATCTAGTATTAACCAAATTTCCAAAATATATTTCCTTACTTGAGCAAAAATTTCCCCAAACTTGTGTCATTTTCACGATCATAGAATGTTTTATTTAAGACATAAGGTCCCATACAGAATTCTTGAGTATTTTTTGATTTTTTGGAGTTTGCACAAAAAAGAAAAGCCAATCCTTGATGACTATAAGGACTAAGTAAATTAGTTTCTGATCTAACACGAATTTCTTCTTCTTCCATTTCAAAAAGTAAAGAAGCTGATTTTGATTCCCTTTAAAAATTAATTTTAATTAAAAAAATATTTTTTTCTTCTTCTTTCTTACCTTTCCTCTTTAATCTCAAAATTCTTTTCAGCTCTCCTTCTAAAATGTAAAGCTGAACCAAGTCTAAAACTTTTAACGGCCCTTTGATTTAATAATTCCCAAGGTTTTTGTGTTGTTTTAGATTGAAAGAATGAATGCGAAAATTTTGTAAAATTTTCTTCTTTTAATTTTTTCTCTTCAATTCTTAAATTTTCAATTATTTGATTATATTCTTTTTGCATTTCTTTTAATTTAATAAAATATTCAGGCATTAATTGTTTATTTAATAAATTAATATTTGTTGTTTTTAATTGATTTAATATTGAAGGAGGAGGAAAATGTATAGCTGGTGAATTTGTTAATTCAATTTGGGAAAAGTATTCAAGAAAATTTTCTTTTTCAGAAGATTCTAAAAAATATTTTTTTGTATTTTAATTAATATTTTTTTGGGAATTTTTTTAAATTAACAAGGGAACACCGCGAACTATCACCAAAAATTTTGTTATGTAACACAACCATCGTGTAGTAGATAGCCTATTCCCATATGTGGCTTTTCTTGCCCTGACCCTCATTTCGAAAAAAATAATAAGGGTTTTCGTCTTTTAATTAACAACTATTTACATAAATATTAAAAAAATACCTTCATTTTCATCCAAATTCTTCAAAGTACTTCTTTGATTTAATTCACAAATATGACAATGAAAAGAACTTGCAGCTTCCTTATCATTACTCATTTCTTTAGGTAAACTATTAAATAAAGAAAGAAAAGCAATTTCCAATTTTGAAGAATATCTTTAATTAAAATTTTAAATATTGAAAAACAATTTAAAAAAACCTTGAAAGAACTAAAAAACGTAAAATTCTTTTTGCAGCTTTCAATTCATACAAATCTCTACTTTTTAATAAAATTGTTATTCCAAATTTATTTCCTTCTCCTCCCTCAGAATCTTCTAGTAAAATAAAATGTTTTCGGTCAAATGTACAAGTATTAAATTCTAATTGACGAAATTTACTAACAATACCAACTCTAGGTTGTAATAGTTGGGCATCTATTGAATTTAAAATACTTGTTGATGTTGCACGAGATATTCTATTTAATACTGATCTCTAAAATAGTAAGATTTTTAGTGAGGGACTAATAATAAAATATTTTGTCAGGAAAAAGCCAGAATTTCGCAGACAATAATTTTTATTTGTTGATAATTTCCCTCCCTAACAATAAACATTATTCCTTTTTTCAGATTTTAGGGGTAAACCTCATAGACCTCTTAAATACCTATTGTCATTCGAAATAGCTCGATAAAATTAAAACAATATATGACCTTTTAGTATAATTTACAAGCAAAAGGGGTCGGATTCATAAAAGTTAATCACAATTTTTTGATAATTAAATTTAAAAATCAAAAACCTTAACATTTGCCAATACAGAAATTCCTTTTTTCGTTAATAAATCTAAAACAGCCACAGGAATAGCATTTTCAGTAATTAACATATTAACATCTACAGACATTATTCTATCACATTGAAGATGAAGAAATTTTTCTTCTTGTTGCATTAATGACTCTATTGAAGAAAATTTTTCTAAAACCTAAAAAAAAATAAAAAAATTTTCCAAATAAAATTAAATTTACCCGTTCATAAGAAATCATTCCATTTAACAAAATTAAAGAAATTTTTTCCATTGAAGTAGGCATTGATGTATGGGCAAGACTTTTTGTGAAAGCAATTCCATCAATTATCTGAAAAAATTTTTTGAAATTTTTTTAGATTAAAAGGAAAATCATAAAAAAACCTCATAGTCCGGATCGGAGTCAATATGCAATTTTTTGATATGCTAGAAAAATAATTTTAATATTAATTTAAAATTCCACAAAAAGTAAAAAACAAACCAAAAATTCCAAAGGAAAATTGTTTGAAGCATTATTGAGAGCTACAGGGAAAATTTTATCAGCTACTAATTTACTTAATTTCCACAACAAATCCTTCCACCTAAAAATTAAATTAAAAAAATTTTTTTAACTAAAAAAACATTGAATGTCCAAGTTGTTCTCTAATAAGGAGTGTATCCAAAAGTTTATTTAATTTATTATCAAACATTTCAATCAATTGTCGTTCAGTTTGAGTATCCACATTTTTAATAGAATTTGAAGGAGAACAAGGCAATTCAGAATTTAATTGCTAAAAAATAAAAATAATTTTTTAATTTAAATAAACCTTATTATTTAAATTTAAATGTTTTTCATCTTCTACAAAGTCATTAGAAGTAGAAGGATGTAAAAATCCATTTGGAGAAGTCTTCAATTTTGATTGCTGTAAAGTAAATATTCGGTCACTGGAACCATCAATTGAATTGTGAATTGATGGAGGAAATAGCTTTACTTAATAAGAAAAATATTAAAAATAAAATTAAAGGTGGAAATTAAAGGTAATTAAGCCTAATTTAAAATTAAAATACTAAAAGAGGAGCCAAAATTAATATTTAACAAAAGAAAAATAAAAAGGAAAATAAACTCGTAATTATTTTTTTACATTTTCCACGTGTCCCACAACCATTTTTTGTATCGATATGATTTGCACAAAAATTACAAAGCCTTACAATACCCTAAAACAACAATAAAATTTACAATTAAAAATCAAAAAACATACATAACAACCAAAATCAATTCCATTTAATTGATGACTTGTACAATTTTTACAAAATATTTGGCCACAAAGGCGGCAGTGGTGCTTCCTTCGGAAAGTATTGAATCGTTCACGACACTCATAACATTCATTTCCTGAAGAGTCTGGCATCCTTTACAAAAATTTTTTTAAATATTTAATTCAAAAAATAACCAATATCTTCTCAATTCATTTTTTCTTGAATTAAAAAAATTTGACGGAGCGTTGCTAGTTGAAGGTTGTTGTTCATTAAAAGTTTCCTCAACAGAATCTTCAAAAACTACATCCTTCTCCTCAGCTTTTGTAATGCAAACACCTTCAGAAAATACTTAAAAAAATATTTTTTAATTAAATTTTAATCAAAATCAAACCAGTTTCTGTTGTAGATGAAGATTTTGATGGTCGAAAAAGATTTGATAAAATACCCAAAAATCCACCATTTTGCTCATAATTATTCTCCTGATTGTTATTTGTATCAATAAATGCGGGAAAATAAAAAATACTGTTAGAATTAGATTTTGTTGGTGATGAACTCATTAATTCTCTTAAATCATAAATTTTAATATTAAAAAAAAATAAAAAATATTTATGTATAAAAAATAAAAATATTTTTTCGTAAAGAAACAAAATTAAAAATAAAAAATATTTATTCAAAAAAATCAAAGACAATGTTATACTTATAGTAAACGAAAATAATGATAAAAAAGATAAGAGTGCAAAAAGTGGCCGTTCTGAAAAGGTGAGTTTTTATTCACGAAAAAAACTTAACAAAAAATTTAGAAAATAGAAACGATAACACAGTGAAAGATAAAAAGAATTAAATTTAAAAAAATTTTTAAATTAGGCTTTAAACTTTTGAATTTCTATCAAAATTTAAAAACTATAAATTTCTCTGTTGGTCACTCTTTCACGCAGCATGTTTACAATGTTTTTCCCGTTTAAATCAATTAAAAATATATCCCTTCTAAAAAAAGTATGGATAAATTTATCGAAAGTAGAAAAACTGGATATTTAAAAATAAAATTAAAAGAGAAAATATAAAATTAAAAGCAGACCGCAAAATCTACTACCAAAACTGGAGTAAATCTGAAAGAGAGAGAAACTCTCGTTTTTCTTCTCTTTAAAAATATATTTTTTCGCCGCGCAGAGTTTGTGTTACAAGTTGCACAACTGTAAAAATAAATGTAGCAAAAAAGCTTCCAGCTTTTATTTATTTTTAATACTAAAAACATATCTTCTTCTTCTTCTTCACACATCCCCCCAAAAACATTTATTCACTCCAAAAATATTTTCTACCAAAAAAAAAACTAAAAAAATGAAAAAATATTTTTACTATAATTCTTGTCAATCTTTAGTTTTATTAATTGCTTTTTCAATAGAAACTCTTCAACAAGAGGCTGCTGTTATATCTGATCATATCAAAAAGGCTGCAGAAGGTCCCATAATTTTGAAAAAATTAAAAAAATGATTTTCCCATCATTTAAAAACAAAAATTCAGTCTATGATTTCGCTACACAGATTATGAATTTGGGTGGAAGTATTATTGGAGAAAAAGAATTTCCTACAAATAACGGATACGGTGGATATGGAAGAGCACTTAAAATGAAAGGTTTTGAATTTTTAAGAGCAAAATTAAAAATTCAAAAAATAAAGAAAACAGCCTAAATCAACGCTTTGGAGCAACACCAATGGGTCTACCTTATAGTGAATATGGAGGAGGTAAAAATAATAACCAATGTTTTGGTATAAATACTCTTTAAAGGCCCATTAGGTGCAGCACGTTCAAGGTTTTTAATATTAAAAATTATAAACAAACCGAAAAATAAATAAAATCTTAAAAATATTCAAAAAAAACTTAATAGATCTCAACCAAAATCATTAGTTGAATCAATGATGGAAACTTTTCTTGGTTTGAAAATAAAAAAACTAAAAAAGAATTTTTCTCTTAATTTTTTAAAGGCTCTTCAACTTCTCAAGATAGAAGCACCCCCTACGACCCCTATGATCTTGGTTATGGTTCTAGTTTGTATTCAAATGGATATGGAAATAATGTAAAAAGAGAGGGACCAAATTCAAATATTGAAGGGATATTAAAAGCTTTGGTTAGAAGTGGAGCCAAAAAAGCTGAAGTTGCTGAACCTGACGGAACTACTTCATTTCTTAGCCAATTTTTTGGAAAATAAAAATAATTTATTATTTTCACTTTATTTTTCTTAAATAAATTTTTAAAGACCAGAAAAGCCAAAAATAGAATAGAATAAAAACAAGCCAGTAATAAAATAAAAATATTTACTAACTTTTCAACGTTAGCATTAAACATATTCTCGAAACCGAGAGAAAAATATATTTATTTAATTTTAAGCTTATCTATATATTTACTTGTCTTCTTAATCAGTCTGAGCACTCTCATACCGCTCCTCAATATTCTTCCAATCGGCAATCTTCCAAATAGCATTTACATAATCAGCACGCACATTTTTGTATTGCAAATAGTAGGCATGCTCCCAAACGTCAATTCCAAAGAGAGGAACAAGTCCTTAAATAAAATTTATTCCTAACATATCTTTTAAAAGAAACCTGTGGTAGGCTCCAATGGATCTTGATTCTGACAACAAGCAACTTCCAAGCGTTTGTCAATTTTGTTGTAGCCAAGCCATCCCCAGCCAGATCCCTGAACGGCTATTGCAATTGCATTTAAACGGGCTTGCAATCCTTGGAGAGAACCAAAGTCACGATTAATCGCTTGCAGGAGTTTGCCAGATGGTTCACCTCCGTCTTTACAAAGATTTGTCCAGAAAATACTATGATTGATGTGCCCGCCACCATTAAATTTTAGAGCAGATTGCAATTGAATAGCCGAACGAATATCGCCTAAAAATAAACTGTAAAATTTAAAAAAAATAAAATAAACCTTTGGCAAAAGCCTCTTGTATTTTTTCTTCAGTCACATTTAAATTGTTTACATAAGTTGCTGAAAATATAAAAAAATAAAAATTAAATCCAACAGACAAACCATGATGCTTTTGATGATGAATTTTCATAATTTCCGCAGAAATTACTGGCTCAAGAGCATTATAGTCATAGGGAAGATCAGGCAAAGCATGTTTAAATCGTTTTGATAAATGAAGCTGTCGAACTCTAAAAAATTAAATTTATTAGTGAAAAAATAAATAAAATACCCATAAGAAAGTTTTTTTAAATTTTGGTAGAACATTATTAAAAAACTCTAAAAAGGAAAAAATAAAGTCCTGATATAATTAATCTAAACTTTTACACCATTTGAAGTGTAAATAAATAAAGATGGAGGAAAAGAGTATATTTTCTAATGACCTTTCATCCTTCTTGTTTACAATTTGTTTTTTTTTCAACAATAAGTAAAAGAACTTCACTAACAAAATTTTAAGAAAACATCAAAAATCACCAAAATTAGAAAAAAAAATCATTAACAATCCGAACTTATTTTTTTCGAAATTTCTCAAAAATAAATATTACAAATTGTTAAATTTTAAAATGTTAAATTAGTTGAAATGTTCATTAAATCTAAAAGTATAAATCCATTAATTTTTATTTTTTTGATTCCTAACAATAAGTCAAGCTTTTTTTTTTATTAAAGCCGGTTTATTTTTTGCAATACACATGGAGAAAACTCCGAACAATTCAAATTCTAATATTAATTCACAACAAAATAAGCCTAATCTGTGTAATAAATACAAAAGATATGAGCAATCAATGATGGTGCAGGCTACAGCACTTATTATCGATAATATTGGGGTTTGTTTAAGATTTTAATTATTTATTGAAAGCTTTGAAAATTAGATGATATTTTGTTTATTCCCAAATTTTACGTTTAAGTTTTCAACGGCGAATGGTTCTGTGATGAATATACTTTCTTGGTTGCTTAGAACTTACTTTGAGAAATTATGTAGAGATTCTGGTTCTTTGGCTGAATTTGGTTACTTTCTCTAATTGTAAATACAAAAATTTTAATTTTTTCCAGCTGGTCGTGATTTTGTAACGCTTGATGATGTTTCCAGAATGTTTAATCGTCATTCGATAGATTGTATGTTATTCAAAGTTTTTCATTTTTAATAATTTTTTTAAGTACGCGATCTTCATGATTATCTTCAACAAGTAGGCAGTTTTCATCTTCCTGAGCAGCCTCCGTTATTTCCTTTGCCTCTGTCTTCCTATAAGGCAATAGTTGAGAAGCAGGAATCAGAACAGAAGGAAGAAGAGGTTACAGATAAAGCTGATATTAACGAGAAAATACATGTAAATGATGATGATAATGAACAACAAGATGATGTCAAACAGGATCACAGGCTAAATAATTTTTTTACTTTTTTAAACTTAAATTTTTCTTTAGAGGTACTCAACGATTTGCTCAGAAAGCTTTCCCTAACTTTTTTGGAGCTTATGCTCCTGATCTTGGCATTACCGTTAAAAAATTTATTCCACCATTGGTAGAGATCAGTTTAGAGGCAGATTTTTCAAGTAATCCTCAAATAGCAAACACTTCATTTACGATTGTGCGACAAGACTTTTTCTCTGTTCCTTGTTTAACTCTGAAAGGTGTCCCAGAATCCGAACGTCATAAAGAGAAAAAAAGACGAAAAAAAGAAAAGCGTGAGCAACAGCAACTTGAAGAGGAAAAACAAAAAATTGAAGAAGAGAAGAGATTACAATTGGAAAGAGAAAAAGTACTGGAAACTGAAAGAATTCAAGCTGAAGGTTTTTTTTTAATTATTCAATTTAAATTTTGTTTTTAGAAGCAAAGTCTGCTGATCAACAATTAAAAGTTCCAAAAATAAAAATACGTTTTGGTCCAGGCCTTTCCACTACTACTCCACAAACTACTCCATTATCCGAGCCACAACAAATTCAGCAACGCCAAATGTTGATCTCTCCACCTCTTGTAACTTCAATTGATAAACCAAAATTAAATGCTCCTCAACCCTTACCAAAAACTGATAAACAAGCACAACCTTCAACATCGAAAATTCCTACATCTGATGCCTCAATAACCAAAAAATCCTCGCCACCTGTCGAAGAAATAATTTTTGTCGAAGAAAAACAACAATCTACTCCCGTTGCAAAAACACCACCAGGTCTTGAAGAAATTAAAAAAGGAGCTAAAAAGCGAAAGAAATCGCCAAAAAGAGCTGTTCCTGTAGTAATGGAGCCAGTCGAAGTGTTGTTTATTACAGCACCAATTCAAGTCCAGACATCTACAAAGGATGCGACGCCAAAAAAGGAAGAAGGTTGGCATTTATGATTCTGAAATAAATCTTTAATTATTTTTTAAGCCGTCAAATTGCCAGATACTGAAAAGAACAAAAGAAAAAGAAAATCACCAAAACGTACATCGCCGTCACCTCCTCGAAAGGCTATTCGCGCTTCTACCCCAGCAAAAAAGGAGGGAGGCTGGTTTCATTTTAAATTATAAAAACGTTTTTTGATATTAATTTAAAATATTTTAGTTGACAAAAACACTTCAAAAATCGCTCCTTTAAAAAATGTTGAGAAGAAACTCCCGAACCCGGTGCCACCTAAATTGCCGACTGAAATACTTACAAAATCAGTGCCTTCTGTAAATTCAACAAGTTCAGATGATTCTAAAATCTCGATTAACTCTATGAAAGAGGTTCATTTAAACAGCGTCTAATTTTTTAATTTAATTTTCCAGGAACCCCCAGCAACTTCAAAACGGAGCAGAAAAAGTGAAAAACCAACAAGAGTCGTTCCTTTAATTGTATCAGATAAATTAACTTCAGAAGCAGCTCCTTCACCCGCGCCTTCACCAATTCCTTCAAAAGCGTTGGAAACTGTTTTGGAACCTTCCAAAAAGAAGGAGAAACCTTTAGGTTATTAAATTAATTTTAAAATTTTTATTTAATTTTTAGAAGCAAACAAAAAATTGCCTAAAATATCTGATACACCTTCGAATACTCCACAAACATCTGCGAAAAAACCACCAATGAAATTGGCAAAATTACTTAAACCTTCTACTACTTCAACACCTAAAAATGAGGACATAAAATCAACGAAAAGTGGATCAACAACCAAATCAAAAACAAACGAAAAAACAATTTCAACACAAAATAAATCAAAATCTAATAATAAAACACCAAAAACTTCTGTTATCAAGACGGTTGAAAAAGCAACAAAAGAAGTGATAAAGAAGGAATTGAAAATTGAAGAAGTAAAAGAAGTTGTTCAGCCATCTCCAGCTGTAATTAATTTAGAAGAGGATCAAGAAGAAGATGTTTGGATATGTCCAGTTTGTTCTGTTGCCTATGTAGAAAATGGACCTGATATGGTAAATTAATTGAAGGATAATCTAATCCTTTCCCTCAAGATGTAGGGTAAGAGGGAGTTTATATCCACGGCTACATTTGAACACTATCTCCGTTTATTTATCTTAATTAAAAAAATGTTTTTCAGGTTGCTTGTGACACTTGTGATAGATGGTTTCATTGGTAATTAAATATCTACTAATTAATGTTCAAATCATTTAAAATTTTTAGGAGTTGTGTGGGAATTTTAATTCCTCCGCCAGATAATGCTTCTTGGTATTGTAATGAATGCAAAAAGAAAAATAAGAAAATTTCGGGTACAAATAGTGGTGGAAATACTAGTCGAAAGTCTTCGATTGGAGGGGGAACTTCAAATAAGAAGCGTTTAAAATAAATAAAAGATTTTAACGATTTTGTGCCTTGTTTTCAATAATCATTTTTTGCTTGTTTTAATAAATTATTTTATTAAAGGTGTTATTATTTTTTAAATTAATTATTTCAGTTAATTATTGATATTTTCTGTTTTACTCAATAATTTGTACATTAGAGCATTAAGCAGGCCTTTATTTTTATGTTTTGTTTGTTCTTTGCTTTATGTAAAGCAAAGGCATAATGCTTGCAATAAAAAAAACTAGATATTAAAAATTTAATAAATTATACTTTAAAAAGTTTGCACGCGCTCACATGTTTATATAAAATGTTTAAAGATTTTTATCATTAATTAACAGACATTTTATTTTTTCATTCCAAATTTTAGTAATTTTTGATTGATTATTTGCAAAAGACAGCCTGTCTTTCTATACAATTTGCGCAATCATTCTCTTACTACGGGTCAATTAAACAGACCAGACTTATTTGGAGGAACTAACATTGTTGGTTATTTAACACGGCAGACATCTTTGAGAATCCTTGTTTTTACATTGTTCTGGTAATTTAAACAAAATAAAAGTTTCATTTTTCCGATTTTTAGCTTTGATATGATGAATAATAACCACGCACATATGAATGGGAATAGTACTGCACATGTGAAGGTGCGACCTGCTTCGCATGCTGGATCATGGTTTTTTAATTTAAATTTATGTTTTTTATAAAAACTTAATTTAGGTATTCTGATGCTCCAGGGGAGCTCGATCAACAATTAAGTGGCTGGTTAAGGGATGCAGGTTCAAATGTTGGCTCGGCTAGAGCAATAATCTCACCGTATTTTTTAATAAATATTTCTAAAATTATCTGGGTTCGGGTGATTCTATAACTTTTTTTTGTCTTTGTAATTCCGAACTTGTATAAAATAGTTGAGGGTTCTAAATTGATATTTAGAAAGGGGCTTAACTCTTCTAATAAAACCTTAAAGCTTTTTTGTTTGCAGGCATGCTGGATATACTTACTGTGGAGAGACAGCTGGTAACCTTTTATATTAACCTTTGTAAAATCAAATATTTGTGTGTAATTTTAGCTTTCGCCTTCAAACAAATTATACCTGACAAAATGTTTTTTTGTTTTCTTAAAATTTTATTTTTAAAATTTTTTTAGAAAAAGAATTTTTGTCCTTGGTCCTTCTCATGTTGTGGTTTGTTTTTATTTTTTTTAACAAATTTAATTTATTTTTAGTATCTCTCTGGATGTGCTCTAACTACTTGTATGAATTTTGTCTCTATCGAGTTATTTAAACTTTTTTAGTTTCAAAATATGCCACTCCACTTGGTGATCTCAACGTCGATTCTTTTGGTCAGGATTACTTTACATATATTTTTTTGAAAATAATTTTTGGAGATTAAAATTTTAAATATTTTTTCTGCTTCAAAATTCTTTTTTCCTATTGCCTAAAAATTCGAGGCACTCGCAGTCAGTGAACAACTTATCAACTCTCACGGTTCTGACGCATTTGAATGGATGTCGACGAGAAATGAGGAAGCTGAACATAGTTTGGAAATGCAAATGCCGTTTATTGCTAAAATTATGGAAAGGTGGTGAATTGTTCTTAATTATTGTTTAAAATATTTTAAAAGTCAATCGTTAAGAATACGTGGCCAGGGCATAAAAATTTAACAAATTTTGTCCTATTTTATGCTTTTATTCCCGGTATCTTACACATTTCAAATTAACTTGAAAATAAATGTCATATGTAGCTAATCTAACTGAGGAATTCTTAATTTATTTAAGTTTTTCCCCATTTCTTTTCTTAACGATTGACTTTTTTAATCTTAATTTAGCTGTCTATAGCTAAAATTTAAATATAATTAAGCCGCCCCCTCGGAAGCTTCAAAATTGTGCCAATACTTGTAGGCTCATTAAGTACTACACGCCAACAATTTTATGGACGTATTTTTGCCAATTATCTTGCTGATCCAACGAATTTATTTGTTATTTCTTCTGATTTTTGTCATTGGGGTTAATTTATATTTAAATTTGTAAATTAATTTATATTATTTTTAGGACAACGTTTTCGTTATACCCCAACTGAATCGGCAGGTGCTCGACCAATTTACGAACAAATTACAACACTTGATAAACAGGTTTTTTTTGAAATGTTTTGGAAATTTTTGAAATAAATTTTAAGGGAATGGATGCAATATCAACTTTGGACCCTTCAATGTTTAATGAATACCTCAAAAAAACTCAAAATACAATTTGCGGTCGAAATCCAATTTGTGTTTTGTTACAGGTTTTTTCTATTTAAAATATTCTTTAAACATTTTTAGGCCTTTAATCATTATCAACAAACAAATAATGTGACAGCAGAACTTCGATTTTTGAAATATGCTCAATCAAATAAGGTTAAAAACCGTTTTTTTAAATTTAAAATAAATTCAACAAGTAATTTATAAAATTATTAAAACTTTTCTTGATTTAAAATTAAATATTTTTTGTTATAACCCTTTTCGATCAAATAGAGTTATCGAACAATTTTTCTGAAATCCTTGGGCATATTTCCAATATCAAAAAATTTCTTTTCGTATTTTACTTTGCCTATCCAAATTCTTTTTCCACTTTTAAATTAAAATAAACTATTACTTTTCATACAAAAAACAGAATTTTCTCTAATTTTTTTAAAAATATTTTTAAAGGTTCGCTCATTAACTGATTCATCAGTTTCATATGCCGCAGGTGCCCTTTTCATTAATCCGCGCAATTGAGCCTTTTTTGTCATCGTTTGCTTGGCTCATTCAATAAAGAAAAGAATATCATTGAATAAAAATAAATAAATTATTTTTAATTAAATACAAAAAAAACACATCAAAATGAAATCCTTTCAAAAACAGCCAAAAACCCCTACAAAAATAAATTGCCTAAAAATTAAAAAGAATATTTTGAGGGAATTCTTTTATATTTTTTTAAAATTTTGGCGCGATCTTTCATTATTATATTTGTTTTTTTTCTAAATTAAAAACCATTCATCCCTTCACAACCAATCAATTTTAAATAAATTTTGTTGTTAAGATTACCCCAATTGCTTAATGTCTCTTTTATTGTTTTTTGTTCTGAAACTTAAATAAATATTTGTATTTAAAATTTTGTAAGTTTTTTTGTTGATAAGCTTATGTTCTTCAAAAAATAAGTATATGGTGTGTTAAGAAATTATAAAACCCCAGTTTTTTCTGGTTCTTTAGGTTCTTGTTTTCCAATAGACCTGAAATCTTTATATATACAACCAGAACCTAGGTAAATTGAATTAGTCTCTAAACGATCCAGAAAATTTACAAAAAGGAAAGAGGAAAGTTAGGGAGGGAGTTCTCAAAAAATGAAAGCATCCATTCACAAAAACACCTAAGAATGATCAATTCTTAATTACTATCTCATTTCAAAGAATTCAAAAAACAATCTTCAAAAACAATTTTATTTACAACAAATACATACATAACAATACAATATTATTGGTACATTATATAGGGAAGAAATATCACAATTTACGATTATCTATTTTGGGTGGTCCTATTCACATCAGCATCTATTCTTCACATCAAGAGATTACTGTGTGTTCTTATCCATCATCTTTATCCATCGTCCCGCAGCCATACTCATGCAGCAGCCATAGGAACGTCGACCTTGAACTCGCCAGAAGATCCAGGAGGGAAGATGGCCTTGGCGTCCCCAGCATCTGGAGGAGCCCCAGCGAAGCAGATCTCGAGCTTGTCATCACCTTTTGGAGGGCCGTTCTGGCGGATCACTTCGACTTGGGCAGCAGCGCCGGGCTCCACGAATCCGAAGACGGGGTTGACTCGGTAGTGCTCGTTATTGCTGGACTTGAGCTTGAAGGCGAAGCGGACCTTAAATAATAAAAAATTTGATTAGAGGAATGATTTGAAAGTAAGAAAAGAAAAAACGATTTTAAAATTAAATAAGTACCTCAGGGTTGCCGTTCATCAGCTGAAGCGAGACGTTGCCTCCCGAAGCAGGGACCTGGATAGCAGCTGGCTCGACTTGGACCGCCATTGTTGTTGTTGTTGTGAAGATTGGTTGTTGATTGTTTGAAGAGTTGTTGTTGTAGAGAGTTGATGATCGATGATGATGAAAAAGCTTTTATATCATGATCTCCATGAAGGAATTAAACACACCCAGCCAACTATAAAAGTCCACTGATTTCGTTCAAACGCAACACTTCACAAACGACAACTCTTCAAACAATCAACAACCAATCTTCACAACAACAATGGCGGTCCAAGTCGAGCCAGCTGCTATCCAGGTCCCTGCTTCGGGAGGCAACGTCTCGCTTCAGCTGATGAACGGCAACCCTGAGGTACTTATTTAATTTTAAAATCGTCCTTTCTTTTCTTACTTTCAAATCATTCCTCTAATCAAATTTTTTATTATTTAAGGTCCGCTTCGCCTTCAAGCTCAAGTCCAGCAATAACGAGCACTACCGAGTCAACCCCGTCTTCGGATTCGTGGAGCCCGGCGCTGCTGCCCAAGTCGAAGTGATCCGCCAGAACGGCCCTCCAAAAGGTGATGACAAGCTCGAGATCTGCTTCGCTGGGGCTCCTCCAGATGCTGGGGACGCCAAGGCCATCTTCCCTCCTGGATCTTCTGGCGAGTTCAAGGTCGACGTTCCTATGGCTGCTGCATGAGTATGGCTGCGGGACGATGGATAAAGATGATGGATAAGAACACACAGTAATCTCTTGATGTGAAGAATAGATGCTGATGTGAATAGGACCACCCAAAATAGATAATCGTAAATTGTGATATTTCTTCCCTATATAATGTACCAATAATATTGTATTGTTATGTATGTATTTGTTGTAAATAAAATTGTTTTTGAAGATTGTTTTTTGAATTCTTTGAAATGAGATAGTAATTAAGAATTGATCATTCTTAGGTGTTTTTGTGAATGGATGCTTTCATTTTTTGAGAACTCCCTCCCTAACTTTCAACAACTGTTCTTCCTTTTAAAAACTTTTCATTTTACAAACTTCACATTTAAAATTAAAGATTAAAATTTTCCATCAATTTTTGTTTTTTTAATTGAAAATATAAAAGAACGAGAGAAATTGAAGGACAAAAATATCTGATTCACCCAACAGCTCCAAATAAATCTGGCGTCAAATTCAAATTTTAACTAACCCGACCCGACTTTTTTCTCAACCCGGTCCATCCCTGGTTTGAATATTCTTTTATTTCAAAAAATTTCGATTTTCTACTTTGGATTTTCGAAGTTTTCTTTTGTTCCGACGCAGCTCTGGTCCGAACATGAAGAACAGCTATGAAACCCAATCCCAAATTAAAACACAGAAAAATTAAAATCTTGATGTTCAGTCCCTAATTGACCGGTCAAATTGAATTTGTCCTGGAATGAATTTGGACGGTGATATTTTATTTATTTTTAGGACAAATATATCCTCAATAAAAGTATACTATGATGATAGAAATTTTATTATTTTTTAACATTTAAATATTTACATTTAAAGTGAATCTATTTAAAATTATTTAATCAGCATCAGGTTGAAGTGCATGCCATGCAGCTACACTTCTCCTAGGTGTTGCTATCTTTTTTAAGAAAAAAAAACAAATTTAAATTTCATATTTATTTATTTAATTACCATATCATGCCAATGTTTTAACCCAACCCCCGAAGCATTATTTCCAATTATTACATGCCCTATTCTCTCATTAGACCCAACTCTATCGTAATCTGAGACACTAAAAAAATTATAAATATTTTAAAATAATCTCAAAAATAATTACATAATATGTAAATGTACCCTTTGCAATTTTTCTGGGCTAACTTCGTAAGAGAAGGATTCGTTATAATCTTTTGAAATTAAAAAGTTTTTAAAAATTATTTTAATTTTACATGGATTTAATGTTTTCATTTTTATTGTTGTTTTTTTCTTTTCAAGTCGCTTATTTTGTGCCATTAAATAAATTTTGACATAAGGATCGGAAAGGCCGAGAACATCCTTAAGAATAAAATTAAATAATAATTTTTTAATTTAAATACACGATTTAAAAAATTAAGGATTATTTAATTATTTGTGAGAGAAATATGACAGTGAGGGGGGGGGGGGGGGGGATAAAAATTTTTCAATTATTAAAGTCAAAAAATATAAAGCATAAAAGTGATTTTAATTTTTGTGTTCAGAATTCGAGATCGAAACCCTGAAGCATTTATTTCTATAAATAATCCCTCTTTAATTAATTAATTTATTAACCATTTTTTTAAGATTTTTACATTCCATAACAACAACAGTTAATTTATTTTTATTTGGAACATAACGTAATGCAAGACAAACTTCTCCTAATCTATTTTCCTAAAAAAAGAATAATTAATTTATTTTAAATTTATTTAATACAGGAGATGCTTCAATAGCAACAGTTTTCTCAATTGTAGTTGCCAAATCAACTTTACCAAGAGGGACACTAACTTGGCCTATTTGGTCGTGCTTGCCAAAACGGTCAAAATCAAAACTTTAATTTTTTTTTAATTTTTTTCTAAAAATACTTACACATTCATTACAAGTGTTTGACTATTTATTTCATTATAAGGTACCTTTTTAAATTAAAAATAATTTTTAAAAAATTATTTTTAGACAAACTTTGAATTGAAAAGATTCATTAAATACCTTTTTTAAAATTAAATTTAAATTAATTTTTTAAATAAGTAAAATTAACTGGATTTAATGATTTCCTTTGAACTTTTGTTTGGAATTTTTTCTTCTTGTCCTGGAAAATTAATTAAATTTTATTTAAATTTAAATTTATGTCAACACAAAAATTTAAGATCCCCAAAAAAATTTTGTGAAATTATTGTCTTTAAAAGAATTAAATTATAAATTTTGAATCAAAAGAAGGGCAAAATAAACTTACAGGAAGTAAATAAAGTTTAACATAAGGATCACTAGTTCCTAAATATTGAAAATTATTTTATTTAAAATTCTTCTTATTATTTACCCCCCAAATCCATTGCAGGTAAATTTTCAGCGCTCAAAACAGTTACATTTAACTTTAAAAATTTAAATTTAATTTAAAATTTACAAATAAAAAAATACAATAGATTTATCAAAATCGTAATCAATTTTGTAGGAAAGCATTCCAAGAAATTTTTTTTCTTTTTCCCCTTCCCCCCTAGCACTTCCTGGAGGTTTTCTTCCACTGCTGGGTAATGGGGATGTCATTTCTTCTAATTGTTCTGAAAATTTAATTTAAATTAAATAAATAAATAATGGAGAGAAATCTTCAATGATTTATATTTAATTATGAATAAATTAAAAATAAAATAATAATTATTTTATTAATTTTAAAAAACATTTTTTGGTATGTTTTAATTAATTTAAAATACAGAAAAAAACTTTTATTTTCCCTTACTTCTACATTTATCAACTAAACTTTTTCCAAGTTGCCCAGTTAATAAAGGAGGGGATTTTTTCTGTTGCTGCTGTTTTGACTCCTCTTCATTTTCTGATTCTGACATTTTTTTGAATAATTAAATTTATTTTAATTTTTAAATAACTCTCAAAATAATTTTTAAAATGAGAGAGAGTCAATAAAATTTACTAGCCAGCAACAGAAAATTAAAATAAAATAAAAATAACAGTTAAATAAATAAAAGATATATTCAAAAAAGAGTATAGCTTTTTTAATTTTTTCCCCTTTGATTTATAAGAGAAGAAAGTTTTTTTAGTTTATTTTTTTGAATACA